ACACAATACAGTGGTAGTACACAATACAGTGGTAGTACACAATACAGTGGTAGTACACAATACAATGGCAGTACACAATACAGTGGTAGTACACAATACAGTGGTAGTACACAATACAGTGGTAGTACACAATACAGTGGTAGTACACAATACAATGGCAGTACACAATAGAGTGGTAGTACACAATACAGTGGTAGTACACAATACAGTGGTAGTACACAATACAGTGGCAGTACACAATACAGTGGCAGTACACAATACAGTGGTAGTACACAATACAGTGGTAGTACACAATACAGTGGCAGTACACAATACAGTGGTAGTACACAATACAGTGGTAGTACACAATACAGTGGTAGTACACAATACAGTGGTAGTACACAATAGAGTGGTAGTACACAATACAGTGGTAGTACACAATACAGTGGTAGTACACAATACAGTGGTAGTACACAATACAGTGGTAGTACACAATACAATGGCAGTACACAATACAGTGGTAGTACACAATACAGTGGTAGTACACAATACAGTGGTAGTACACAATACAGTGGTAGTACACAATACAGTGGTAGTACACAATACAGTGGCAGTACACAATACAGTGGTAGTACACAATACAATGGTAGTACACAATACAGTGGTAGTACACAATAGAGTGGTAGTACACAATACAATGGTAGTACACAATACAATGGTAGTACAGAATACAGTGGTAGTACACAATACAGTGGTAGTACACAAAACAGTGGTAGTACACAATACAGTGGTAGTACACAATACAGTGGTAGTACACAATACAGTGGTAGTACACAATACAATGGTAGTACACAATACAGTGGTAGTACACAATAGAGTGGTAGTACACAATACAGTGGTAGTACACAATACAATGGTAGTACACAATACAGTGGTAGTACACAATACAGTGGTAGTACACAATAGAGTGGTAGTACACAATACAGTGGTAGTACACAATACAGTGGTAGTACACAATACAGTGGTAGTACACAATACAGTGGCAGTACACAATACAGTGGCAGTACACAATACAGTGGCAGTACACAATACAGTGGTAGTACACAATACAGTGGTAGTACACAATACAGTGGTAGTACACAATACAGTGGTAGTACACAATACAGTGGTAGTACACAATACAGTGGTAGTACACAATACAGTGGTAGTACACAATAGAGTGGTAGTACACAATACAGTGGTAGTACACAATACAGTGGTAGTACACAATACAGTGGTAGTACACAATACAGTGGTAGTACACAATACAGTGGTAGTACACAATACAGTGGTAGTACACAATACAGTGGTAGTACACAATACAGTGGTAGTACACAATACAGTGGTAGTACACAATACAGTCGTAGTACACAATAGAGTCGTAGTACACAATACAGTGGTAGTACACAATACAGTGGTAGTACACAATACAGTGGTAGTACACAATACAGTGGTAGTACACAATACAGTGGTAGTACACAATACAGTCGTAGTACACAATAGAGTCGTAGTACACAATACAGTGGTAGTACACAATACAGTGGTAGTACACAATACAGTGGTAGTACACAATACAGTCGTAGTACACAATAGAGTCGTAGTACACAATACAGTGGTAGTACACAATACAGTGGTAGTACACAATACAGTGGTAGTACACAATACAGTCGTAGTACACAATAGAGTCGTAGTACACAATACAGTGGTAGTACACAATACAGTGGTAGTACACAATACAGTCGTAGTACACAATACAGTGGTAGTACACAATACAGTGGTAGTACACAATACAGTCGTAGTACACAATAGAGTGGTAGTACACAATACAGTGGCAGTACACAATACAGTGGTAGTACACAATACAGTGGTAGTACACAATAGAGTGGTAGTACACAATACAGTGGTAGTACACAATACAGTGGTAGTACACAATACAGTGGTAGTACACAATACAGTGGTAGTACACAATACAGTGGCAGTACACAATACAGTGGCAGTACACAATACAGTGGCAGTACACAATACAGTGGTAGTACACAATACAGTGGTAGTACACAATACAGTGGTAGTACACAATACAGTGGTAGTACACAATACAGTGGTAGTACACAATACAGTGGTAGTACACAATACAGTGGTAGTACACAATAGAGTGGTAGTACACAATACAGTGGTAGTACACAATACAGTGGTAGTACACAATACAGTGGTAGTACACAATACAGTGGTAGTACACAATACAGTGGTAGTACACAATACAGTGGTAGTACACAATACAGTGGTAGTACACAATACAGTGGTAGTACACAATACAATGGCAGTACACAATACAGTGGTAGTACACAATACAGTGGTAGTACACAATACAGTGGTAGTACACAATACAGTGGTAGTACACAATACAATGGCAGTACACAATAGAGTGGTAGTACACAATACAGTGGTAGTACACAATACAGTGGTAGTACACAATACAGTGGCAGTACACAATACAGTGGCAGTACACAATACAGTGGTAGTACACAATACAGTGGTAGTACACAATACAGTGGCAGTACACAATACAGTGGTAGTACACAATACAGTGGTAGTACACAATACAGTGGTAGTACACAATACAGTGGTAGTACACAATAGAGTGGTAGTACACAATACAGTGGTAGTACACAATACAGTGGTAGTACACAATACAGTGGTAGTACACAATACAGTGGTAGTACACAATACAATGGCAGTACACAATACAGTGGTAGTACACAATACAGTGGTAGTACACAATACAGTGGTAGTACACAATACAGTGGTAGTACACAATACAGTGGTAGTACACAATACAGTGGCAGTACACAATACAGTGGTAGTACACAATACAATGGTAGTACACAATACAGTGGTAGTACACAATAGAGTGGTAGTACACAATACAATGGTAGTACACAATACAATGGTAGTACAGAATACAGTGGTAGTACACAATACAGTGGTAGTACACAAAACAGTGGTAGTACACAATACAGTGGTAGTACACAATACAGTGGTAGTACACAATACAGTGGTAGTACACAATACAATGGTAGTACACAATACAGTGGTAGTACACAATAGAGTGGTAGTACACAATACAGTGGTAGTACACAATACAATGGTAGTACACAATACAGTGGTAGTACACAATACAGTGGTAGTACACAATAGAGTGGTAGTACACAATACAGTGGTAGTACACAATACAGTGGTAGTACACAATACAGTGGTAGTACACAATACAGTGGCAGTACACAATACAGTGGCAGTACACAATACAGTGGCAGTACACAATACAGTGGTAGTACACAATACAGTGGTAGTACACAATACAGTGGTAGTACACAATACAGTGGTAGTACACAATACAGTGGTAGTACACAATACAGTGGTAGTACACAATACAGTGGTAGTACACAATAGAGTGGTAGTACACAATACAGTGGTAGTACACAATACAGTGGTAGTACACAATACAGTGGTAGTACACAATACAGTGGTAGTACACAATACAGTGGTAGTACACAATACAGTGGTAGTACACAATACAGTGGTAGTACACAATACAGTGGTAGTACACAATACAGTGGTAGTACACAATACAGTCGTAGTACACAATAGAGTCGTAGTACACAATACAGTGGTAGTACACAATACAGTGGTAGTACACAATACAGTGGTAGTACACAATACAGTGGTAGTACACAATACAGTGGTAGTACACAATACAGTCGTAGTACACAATAGAGTCGTAGTACACAATACAGTGGTAGTACACAATACAGTGGTAGTACACAATACAGTGGTAGTACACAATACAGTCGTAGTACACAATAGAGTCGTAGTACACAATACAGTGGTAGTACACAATACAGTGGTAGTACACAATACAGTGGTAGTACACAATACAGTCGTAGTACACAATAGAGTCGTAGTACACAATACAGTGGTAGTACACAATACAGTGGTAGTACACAATACAGTCGTAGTACACAATACAGTGGTAGTACACAATACAGTGGTAGTACACAATACAGTCGTAGTACACAATAGAGTGGTAGTACACAATACAGTGGCAGTACACAATACAGTGGTAGTACACAATACAGTGGTAGTACACAATAGAGTGGTAGTACACAATACAGTGGTAGTACACAATACAGTGGTAGTACACAATACAGTGGTAGTACACAATACAGTGGTAGTACACAATACAGTGGTAGTACACAATACAGTGGTAGTACAATATTCAATATGATAGGATGGCAGTGGTCCGTATCAAATACAGAAACACAGTGGTGAAAGCAAAAGTCAGTTATAATAGAATATTCACTCAGCGGCGACAGTGGTTAACCTCCTAGAAAGACCTAGGCAGGGAATCCGAGGTGATGAGTGATCTTCACACGAAAGCTGGTCTTGATGTAATCAAATGAGTGATAGATACGTAAACACTCTCTTGTCCCCTTATATACAGTCTACCTAGCTACTTGAAATTTCTACACAGTGCTCTCACCAGTCTACCGGCACCAGAACATTACAGAATATTACACATCAGTCCACGGTATACCGGAAGATTACACACAGCACAAGCATCTAAACATAGTAACTTTCTCACAACTGCTCACATTAAACAGTACTACATTTCTGACAACTAATCACACACAATACAGTGAGCGTCTACCGAACCTCATCAGAAACATTGCAACACAGTTACAATCATTGTTCAACAATAAAATACATGTGCACTACCATATAACACTACACAGAATTTTAAAAATAAATGCATTTATGGTTCAACCATCTATGAGTTCAAAATTTCATACTGAATTGAAAAAAATGTAAGAAATCAATATCATCTCATTTTAATGAGGTTTATGCTTGCAATACTTTTCGCAGGTTCGAACCTGTCTCGGTGTTCCGGAAACAACTTTGCCATAGAATTGTTAGAGTAGCATAAAATTATTAGAGTGACGTCCCTTTGTTGAAGTCATTTCCCAAAACTTGGTGATGGACACGTTATGAGAAACTACAAGCATGAAAGGTTCGCTCGATTATTCCGTTGATGTCCTACACATGATTGTTGGTGAGCATAGATTATTCATCCTCTGATATTCGATTCCATGGTACAGAATTATACTTGCTCTGAGTCCAAATAACACGATCAATATTCAGTCCGACGATGTTGATATTGGTGGCCTTATTGTCATTGATGAAACGGCGAAAGTGAAATTAGAGCAAGATTATTTCTTCTCTATGGTCTTAACAGCCGAGGTTAATGTTGATTTTCTGGATAACATGTTACACGTGAAATCAAACGGGTAAACAAGTACTACGAGATAAATAAAGTTTTATCTTTATTCAATCATATAGGCCTAGTCAGAAGGAATTTGTGCATAGTCAGAAAGAAATGCAAACAATTAGTCACTGATAGTGTAACCATAGTTTTCTAGATCATTTTTGTCATTAAACAATATATCACATGACTAACCACAGGTCCAGGTAGTCCTGTGGGTACCCGGGTCCTACTCAGTACCCAGACCGCCTCCATGGTCTAGTGGTAGAGCGTCCGCCCGGAGAGTGGAAGGTCCGGGGTTCGATCCCCGACCAAGTCATACCAAAAGACGTTAAAAGATGGTACTTGTTGTTACCCTGTCTGGCGCTCGGCATTAAGGGGCTAAAACAAGGACTGGTCGGCTCGGAGTCAGTATTCTGTGTCTGAGTGGGGTATTCATGTTAAACTGCGGCATGGTATCTCAGTGAGCTAGCACTATAAATCGGCATCAGTCCGGACTAGTACAAGCAGCCACACAAACACACACACGTACATGCACGTCGCTATACAAGTGCAATAATCTTGGACGCGACGTTAAACCCAATTTCACCTCACCTCACCTACTCAGTACCCACCCGACCCGAGTACCTGTGCCACCCGTCCCAGCCCTACTAGATCTACCCGTGTTTAGATTCATATTCTAATTCTGTATCTATTAAAAAGATATATGATGATATTTTCTACATTTTGTAACCTGGCCAAGAAGCATGACGACAAATACGATTGCCAACGTTACTTTGAAACACAAAAACAGTGTTAGAAACTGGCACTAGTCCTGGAGTCCTTGCCAAACTGCCCAATAGTTAAGGTATCATAAGGACTAGTAGAAATAAGGGTTTGGCAATATGTTATCATTATAAGGACTAGTAGACTGAAAATGTTAGTTTCTACAACTGAAAAATGTTGCAACCTATGGACTATGGAGAATTTAAAAAAAACTGGTGCAAATTAAGTATCACAATACATCCCTAGTAAGTTGACACATCATAATATGACCAGACATGATAACTGAAATATTGTTCAAAGCATTTTTTGACCCACTCGTCAATGGCGCTGACTTACCTCATCTGTTTGAAGATGATAAGTGCATTGGCAGCTGGAATCCTGACAACAGTGCCTAGTGCTTGTCAGGGAAATGGGTATTTTTTTGCCAGCATGTCTAGTTAGTGTGTATTGAATGAGTGCCTAAGTCTTGTCTGTGACCTGCCTGAGTTGGTGTGTCATCTTACCCCAAAGATTGGTAAATACATCCAGGGTTACAAATAAGCTGTGTATTTGCCATGTTTGCATAAGATACACAAATTAAAATAGAATCACCATAACCTAATTAATTTTGACTTGTTTCTTACAAGTACACATGAAAAATGTTTGTAACACAATAGTATAACAACACCGTGTGATATATCTAATGTAGCTTTATGAGATATACGTATGTCTTTACATATATACCGCCTCCGTGGTCTTGTGGTAGAGCGTCCGCCCGGAGAGCGGAAGGTCCAGGGTTCGATCCCGGGCCGCGTCATACAAAAAGACGTTAAAAGATTGTACTTGTTGTTACCCTGTCTGGCGCTCGGCATTAAGGGGCTAAAACAAGGACTGGTCGGCTCGGAGTCAGTATACTGTGTCTGAGTGGGGTATTCATGTTAAACTGCGGCATGGTATCTCAGTGAGCTAGCACTATAAATCGGCATCAGTCCGGACTAGTACAAGCAGCCACACACACACATACACGTGCATGCACGTCGCTATATAAGTGCAATAATCTTGGACGCGACGTTAAACCCAATTTCACCTTCACCTCACCTTTACATATATTTTTTTACTCGCTGAATGCTGGTGTATCACATATACATGAACTCTACTGTAGTGAATAACACACATGTGCCCAACATCTCGCTTATTGTAACTTAGACATGTGTCGCAGTTAGTGTTATAAGGTTATATGATATGTGTCACACTTGGGGCTAGTACTCACTATGCATTGGTTTACAAAGCCCAATAGACTAGGGACTGCCTCCGTGGTCTAGTGGTAGAGCGTCGGGCCGGAGAGCGGAAGGTCTGGGGTTCGATCCCTGGCCGCGTCATACCAAAAGACGTTAAAAGATGGTACTTGTTGTTACCCTGTCTGGCGCTCGGCATTAAAGGGCCAAAACAAGGACTGGTCAGATCGGAGTCAGTATGCTGTGTCTGAGTGGGGTATTCATGTTAAACTGCGGCATGGTATCTCAGTGAGCTAGCACTATAAATCGGCATCAGTCCGGACTGGTACAAGCAGCCACACAAACACACACACGTACATGCACGTCACTGCAAAAATCAAGGATGCAATGTTAAACCCCATTTCACCTCACCTCACCCAATACACTAAACCAAAGGAAGTAAAAATGTATCGACTACACAATTAAAACCATCAATACCCAATGTGAATGATAATTTGTGAGTAAATACTCAATGGCTCAAAAATATAATCTGGTGCCTCGCTGCTCACCTATTGAATCATCTTACCTTGCATTGAAATACTCATTTCTGATTGGCTACTGAACAGGCAGTTTTGTCCCAATTACCCCAAGTGGTTCCAATCTCATATACCCTGCAGGGAAATGCTGAATTTTTATCAATGTGAATATTATGATGGGATTATGTTTTATTGAAACTGTCAACCTGTCAAATGCAGTTGAGAGAACTTAACACATTATAATATGGGGTAATAACTCTGGTTGTGGTTATTGTCGTCTACTAGCCGTCGATATGTCCATGAAACGGTTCGTTAGCCATACCCATCGTGCCCATGTAGACATTTTAGATACACAAATGACAATTACCGTATTCAACGTAATAAGCGCTCTGCTCTAATAAGCATGATAAGCGCCCACGGCGATATTTGTTAATATATTGGCTAGTGAACAATCTCAATTAGCACCCCTTCCAATTGATTAATGTACACAAGACTTATTTATTTGTGTATAATACGCACTCGTATGTTATATGCATCCTTAATTATGGGCAATTAAATCCTGGAAAAATATATCTGTCGTATATAAACATTTCAGTCTGTCAGCATAAACCACGAAATTTATGATCTTTCAACTCAAAATAATACTCTAATAAGAGCCCCCTATTTCTAATTTTGAGAGCGCCCTAGGCACTTATTACGTCGAGTACGGTATGCCAGTAAGATAAATTCATTGTCAACCAGTCCCTTGAGTCCCTCAAAAAATTAAATGTGAAAAAAAATACAATGAAAAGCAGTTGGTTTTGTACTCTGCCACCCAGAAGTAAGTAAAATGTTTAAGAATTACTCATGTACTGTCACTATCAACATGATCAATATAAACATGATAAATAAAGTCATTAAAATACAATTAAAACTTGTTGAAAATTTATTATAAGAACCACACCCACTATATTAAAACAAATAATTCCAATCAACATAACATTTTGAGAAATTATCACAAAAAAAATATTTAAGATGTCTCACCACTGCATGTATGTAAAAAATATCAGTGAACCTGAGTATCTCTGTCAGTAGACTGTGAACCTTTATCAGTTTATAACAATACCATTAAAACTTTCCAGCTAACAGTGGCTAATCTCCTTGACCTTTAACATAAACACAACAATGGATACAAACCGCTCAGCAGGGCAGACCAAGCTTCATATACTATATCCTTGAAGACCAACATGTGTGAGATAGTTCAAATTATTTTTCATTGAAGATAAGTACAGTAGACAACGGTTATTGCAAACTCAACGGGACCACTAATTTTAGTTCTCTATAACCGTAGTTCATTATAAACATATATACATCATATACACAGCTAATCGTCGGGACCAAAAAACCAGTTCATTATAAGCGTGTTCGTTTTAATCATAGTTGACTGTATGTGACTGTTTAACATGTTTACTGTAGGGGACACAGCAAGGCTATGTACTACTTCCCTTCTCTTGTTGCAAGTGTTTTGATGTTGTTTAGAAGTCATGCTGGTTGTTCAACAGAATATCAAATGCTGATCTGTCTGTTATTTGCAGTCGAGAAGATTAAGTCACTTTGACAAGACAGTTTCATCAGGTAAGAACATGTTCTGTTTTATCTGTTTATAAGTATTCAAGTATTTATCCATAGATGTCAGACATTTGACTTGTCATGACCTGACATCCTCAGTTATCCAGGGTGTTGTTTATTCAGTTTATTATTACACATACCCTGGGTCTATTCTCTACCCTGCTTGATTGACACAGTACTATATCACCATCAAATATGCTTACAGTCCTAAGCGTCAAATATGTTTACACTCGTAAACATCAAATATGTTTACAGTAATTACAGTCCTAAGTATCAAATATGTTTACACTCCTAACCATCAAATACGTTACACAGATTCTTACAAAAGTTTGCACATTGGTTTTTCGATTCATACCTCAATGAACCAAAAAATACAGTCAATCCTTAAATTTTTCTTGATCCCGATCCTAATCCCGATCCTCGTCCGGATGATGAATGGTACAGCATGTACAGAAAAACAGGAATCTAGTGCAAAAAAAACAATTTGGAGTTTAACACGTCATCATCTAACACTCCTGTCATGATAAACAAGAAAAATAGTTTTTTCACGCCCATGAATATAAAAATCTTGCAAGAAGAAACAAGTAGTTAGTTTCAATTTATACATGTCGTCAGCATTATTTTGTTGAATATTTGAAAATTAAAATCTGGGAATATGGCCAGCCATTCTTTTTGCAGGTGTAACTTTTTTCTACTTCTGTCAGAGAATAGAGATTACTATCCCAAATGTCAAATTTATAATTTAGAAATATTATTTGCAATAATAAAAATGTATCAAATCATAATAGTTCTCTGCATTCAAACGTATAACGTGATGTGTGAGAATGTATTGAATTTCTTCCAGATTCACTGAAGTCAAAGTGCACAGATCGAAAGAACAAAGTACACTGACAAGAAAATGACGTCCCTCCTGTCTTATGTTTTATCTGTTCTGAAAAGAAGACCCCCACCCAGGGCCAGCAAACACAACCTCCCTCAACCAAGGGTCTGCCATCTTGAATTGGGAGCAGACGTCATTCGGGACAGGAAAGTCTTCGTAATCGGGGACGTTCACGGCTGCTATGACGAACTGTGTGAACTGATTGACAAAGCTAAACAGAAAGAGCCCAATATTCTGTGTGTATTTGTTGGAGATTTAATCAACAAGGGCCCCAAGAGCAAAAAAGTACTAGAACTAGTTCAAAGCATGGAGTGCTACTCAGTACGTGGTAACCATGACGATGTGGTCCTCCATGAATATTACAGATCCATCGGGGACCCAAATTGCGTTATGAAGGATAAAAATAAATGGATAAAAGACCTACCATGGACCGATTTTGAATATTTAAAAGATTTACCATACACGATATCCATTCCAAGTTTGAACGCAACCATAGTTCACGCAGGTCTCATTCCGGGCTGGGGATTCGAAGGGCAAGACTTCACGGCTATGACTCACATGAGGAATATAGAACAATTGTATACAGTATTTCATGGCCTGTATCCCACCCTCATCCCATCTGAGAGTTCAAAGGACGGAGTTCCCTGGGCTTCCTTGTGGCCGGGCCCTGATCATGTGTACTTCGGTCATGATGCGGTACGTGGTCTTCAGATGTATCAATATGCTACCGGCCTTGACACTGGTTGTGTGTATGGAAAGTGCTTGACGGGTGTTTTCCTGGATGGAACAAGAGAGATGATATCAGTGAAATCCAAACAGCCAGACATGTTTTCAAAGACTGATTAAAGATCTTAGACTTTGTTTATGTTTGTTTTATGTTTTTTAACATGATTGTGCTTTAAGTCACACTTTTATCATCTCTTGGTTTATTTGGATATTCATGAACAAGTTTAGTGATAATAAAAAATGTTATGACTTTATTTAACTTATCTTGCTTATTTTGTGATCTGGTTGTTCAGGGGCGGTCGGGTAGCCTAGTGGTTAAAGCGTTCGCACGTCACGCTGAAGACCTGGGCTCGATTCCCGACATGGGTACAAAGTGTGAAGCCCATTTCTGGTGTCCCCCGCTGTGATATTGCTGGAATATTTGCTAAAAGCGGCGTAAAACCTCACTCACTTACTCACTCACTCACTCACTCACTCACTCACTCACTCACTCACTCACTCACTCTGGTTGTTCAGAGTTTGTCGTAATCATCTCATCAGAAACGACTGAACCAAATCTTCACATCTATGTTCCCACAAGCGATGACAATCTGTCTAAGAGGTTTGACAGCCATATTGAAAATGCTCTTTTTTTACTCAGCCATTTTATATAAACATGTAATGTAATTTGGTGTAGATATTTTATTTGTAGGTAAGAGTGAGCCCCAACATGCCCAATACATATGTTCCATTTTTGTGTTGCAAGTTTTTAAGTTTTGACCTTCATTTGACCTTCACCCTTTGACCATGCTCCCAAATTATTTTAATATGAATTTTCCCACACTGTAAAAATAATGTGCTTAGAAACCACTTGACCAATGAACATGATGAAGATATACCTGTTCCCACCAGTGATGAGATCTGAACTTGTGTGAGAGTTTTAAATCTGATTTTCAAAATGGCGACCACGACAGCCATTTTGAAAAGGTTATTGATGGTAATGCGGGTTGGAACATGTGTAGTTAGTAATGGGACTGAACTATGTGTTGCGTTTTTGAGATATCTTTTATTTTGACATTGATATGACCTTTGCACTTTGACCCTTCTGAAATCTGGAACTGGCACCAAAGCAGCTGTATGTATGGTCACTGCTCATTCATGTCTGCTCAATATACATTTTTGGCTTTGTTGACATCTCTTAAATAGCTGAGGAAGCTGCATGTTTCTCCTCATGATGGTCGGGTAGCCTAGTGGTTAAAGGGTTCGCTTGTCCCACCAAAAGCCCTGGTTTGATCATCCATGTAGGTAATATGTTTGAAGATCTCACCATGAGATAGCTAGAATATTACTAAAAGCAGGATAAAACCATACTCACTCACTCCTTATGATGACATTAGGAACTTAGTGTGTTCCTCGAGAAACATTTGGAAAAATTGTATGGCATTAGCAAAACTGGAATGAAATTTGGAACATATGTAGATAGTATTGGGCCTCAACATACATGTTCTGTTTCATATGAAAATATTACAATTTTGTAAACAGTGAGTGAGTGGGTTGAATTTTATATCGCTTATAGTTTAGCAATATTCCAGCAATGTCACTTCGGGGGACATCAGAAATAGGCTTCACACAGTGTACCCATATAGGGAATTGAACACTTTCACTAAGTCGGGACTCTACTTAATATGCATTATTTTGGTTTTATGTAAGCATTGTACATGGAGACGAATTCTTACCCTGTATTAGTTGCAAAAAACATGTACAATATTGGGAGAAACAAGGTCTTACATTATACAATGGATCTTCATTACCCAACAGACACATAGACTATTACAAGGTGAGGTGAGGTGAGGTGAGGTGAGGCGAGGCGAGGCGAGGTTGAGGTGAGGTGAGGTGAAATTGGGTTTAACGTCGCGTCCAAGATTATTGCACTTATATAGCGACGTGCATGCACGTGTGTGTTGGGGGCTGCTTGTACTAGTCCAGACTGATGCTGATGTATAGTGCTAGCCCAGAGATACCATGCCGCAGTTTAACATGAATACCCCACTCAGACACAGTATACTGACTCCGAGCCGACCACTCCTTGTTTTAGCCCCTTAATGCCGAGCGCCAGACAGGGTAACAACAAGTACCATCTTTTAACGTCTTTGACGCGGCTGGGGATCAAACCCCGGACCTTCCTCTCTCCGGGCGGACGCTCTACCACTAGACCATGGAGGCGGTCTGGACTACTACAAAAACATAGACAGTTATTATTCATTATCTCTAGTTCCGCATGGATGTAGGCCCTCGGCCCATACAGCTGAAGTTAACCCATGCTGACATTGTTTCTAGAGCACTCCAAAGTAGTAGTATTTAGAGGTTATATATTAATCAGAAATTAATATCCAGGTGTGTTAACATATGAAACAAAATGTCATATTGTCAGTGTGTGTCTTTTTGTGTGTGTGTTACTTGGTTCAGGGAGATGCTTTTTTTAGATAAAACATATGGGTCAAAATAAGAATAATGAAAGAGAAACATCACATGTTCAGAGGGATTGCATTGTGTAGCTAGTTAACCCACTGAAGAGTTTAAACATTTCTCATTGTTACCTGTAAGGAAATCTCACAGAAGCTAGCCACTTTTGAGTAGCAGGTTGCAATGATAATACAATGAAGTTATAAAACAGGCTGATATTGTTTTATCCATAAGTTTGTTTAAAATACATGACCCACACATGGCAACCCTCTCCAAACACCTATTGACTATTTTCAGCATCCAATCATTGTCACCCCAGGGTGGCCTTTGACCATTCTATTTTATAAGTTAATCTATTCAAACACACTCCAACCTAGCGTTATCCTGCGTCGGAATGCGACAACCATTCAGCCCTCGTGGCTTTTTTAAAAATAAATTTCGTGAAGCGTCTTAAACCCAATTATCGTTTTCAGGGGAAGTAACTCTTTGGTTCTTTTGTATGAAGCGTTTTGGTACCTTTTATGAGGGCATCATGAAAAACGCGGTCTCAGAGCAACGACAGTCGAAAAGGAGCACCCATTTTGGGAAGAGGGAGGGGAGATTTTTTAAATGGATAGTTTGTTGGCAGTGGTAAAAATTTAATAGATTCTTCGGTTGGAAAGTACCCAAACGCCAAATGTTTTGTGTTAATGGTGAAAATGAATAAGGTGGTTGCTGGTGCTCAGTAAATAAATAGTTTGTTGGCTCCAATTGGGGAAAAAATAGATTGTTCCGAAAAAAAAACATTCCCACATTTTTTACATTCACGGGAGTAACGAATTCTGAATCACGGAGCTCCAGAAAATCTGCATATTTGCGTCAAATATACAAAATAATCACCAAATATCAAACTATATTCATGTAATGAGATCCGTGAAGATCCGGGCTAGAATAGGTCTTCAGCAATTCATGTCTGCCATAAAAGGCGACTAGAGGCGTAAGAGGCGACTAACGGGATCGGGTGGTCAGGCTCGCTGACTTGGTTGATGCATGTCATCGTATCCCAATTGCGTGGGTCGATGCTCATGATGGCAATCATTGGATTGTCTGGTCCAGGCTCGATTATATTTGTGACCTCTGGAATATTGCTGAGTGCGGCGTTAGAGAAGAAACAAACAAACAGTTCTCCAGTTTCATTACACTTTCAGACTTGAAACGGATTTCGAAATGGTGTTTCAATCTTGATTCAGTAGGTAGACAGAACTGGACAAGTAATGTTAGACATATTCTATTTCGTTCATGTTTTAAATATTCCTGGGTTTACCAAGAAAATGGATGTATTTTCTTAACCTTTTTCAAGCCAGATTGAAAGAAATATACAGACAAGAATCGACTATTGCGTAATAACCTAGTACTCGATATGAATATTGTACCATTTTTAAGATAACTACCGAGGCAAATTTTTTTTTTGTATATTGGATGAAACCACCAAATTAAAAAATCTGAGGAATTATCTATACATTGTTACCTAAACAATATCGAAGATCTGTATCATTTCACCTTTGTATCAGTTCATCCTCGGAAAACACTCTAAAGCAATACATACCAAATGATATGTAGACCGCCTCTGCGGTCTGGTGGTAGGGCGGAAGGCCCGGGGTTCGATCATCGGCCACGTCAAACTCAAATACGTTAAAAGATGGTACTTGTTGTTACCCTGTCTTGCACTCGGCATCAAGGGGCTAAAACAAAAACTGGTCGGCTCGGAGTCAGTATACTGTGTCTGAGTGGGGTATTTATGTTAAACTGCGGCATGGTATCTCAGTGGGCTAGCACTATAAATCGGCATCAGTCCGGACCAGTACAAGTAGCCACACACACGTGCATGTACACATCTACATAAGTTTAATTATCTTGGACGCAACGTTAAACCCCATTTCACTTAACAAATAATATGTACTTCGACCTTCAGTCCAAACATTTCCTCTCCTTATGGCAACCACAAATTTTCAAGATTTAAGTTTTCAAGAATTTAAATCTGTCATGTTTTACTTTAATAGCAGAACTGTACTGAAATGAAACCTGAATATACTTGTAAAATAATACTACAATGTGTTGTATGCATTTTATGTATTTGGGCGTATGGCATTTCATACAGTAAACATGGTGATTTTTATCCACGATGATAACAGGCAATTAAAATGGCATAGCTTCATAAGACGGGAACAGATACACGGGCAGACCAGTCGTCTCAGCCACTGCTGGTCCTCCCACACGAAGCTTACTTTGCGTGATATCACTGAAATACTGTTCAAAGCGACGTTAAACCAAATTCAGACACACTTTTGAGATCGCCCTTTTTATAAACGCGCGTGACACATATATGTACCATGTTGAACCGTGTGACATTTGGAAAATACCTGATGAAAACTGATACTCGAATAAAGAAAAACAATACCACCTGCCGCGTGGTAAATATATTCGTCATGGTGCGAGGGCGACCTATAAGTCCTGTCTGTCAGCGTGACCCAGACGAAGTGGCCGATGAACGTATGTTCCAATCGTGGCTTCACTTGTGCCTCGCAAACTGGTTGACCTGTTCCCAGTTTCTCTTCGGAAAAACATAACGTTTTACCGGTTCAAGGCAACTTAAATAATATCGCTTACAGTTTTGTCGATCATTCGTTGTAGTACAGATAGAATCTCTTCAAATGTGTACCACAGACGTCTCAGTGGTCTCTCGCACTGTACAGAGTTCCGCCCCTTTGTCGCGTCAGGATACGGTCAGCTTGGGTTTGAAATCTAGATCCTTGGTGTGTTATCGTCATATCAG